TTAAAGGCTACACGGGGGGTCTTTGTGTGCGAGTAGCTCACAGATCATTGAGAGATCTGGACACTGTCCGATTATCTGCGAGCTCCTCCGGCAGGCGAGGCTGCGTTGGCTGTTGTCTGTGCATTAAGAGGTGTTAACTATCCCACGCAGAGGAGTCTGCTTACAGGACAGATCAGAGGTTCTTCACGTACCGTGCCCCGTGTCACCTGAACGTTAAATGGGGCCCCGGTAATTCAGTGTTCACCGCTGAATCATCTTTCACCATCACCACGCGTCCATTAAGGCCAATGCAACGAGACCATGGATATACGCCGCGTTATAACAAGGGGGGGGGAGCAGGAGAAACGTCGTACTACGTGACATCACAACACCCTGCACACAACTATAGTGGCTGATTGGGGTGCGCATCGTTCACAAATATGTGGTTTAAAGTGGTTGAGAGTAGATCTTGGTGTAAATTGACCAGCATGCTTTGCGTAGCCTGCATTTAAAATTTCATGCGTAGGTGCGTGAGCAGATATGAATGGGTGAGTGCGTCAGCAAGCCGGTAGGTGAGTATGTAGGTGGATGAAGGGGGCTAGGCGGGAACGGCATGGGCTGGAGTGGAGGTGGACTGATGCGGTACGGGAGGATGTGGAGCTGAGTGGGCTTTGCCGACGACTGGTACCAGCGGTGTCAGGATCGGCCTCTGCGGGGGAGGCTCGTGAAGGACGCTTCTACTGGGCAGTTGGAGGCAGTCGCCCTCCAACAACAACGGAGGAGTGATGCTCACAAGAACGAGCGAAACACCGGATGATAAATATGCAGCAATGTGTCACAGTACAGGGTAGTGCATCTGCCAGTCATCTCAGTCAGCCAACCCTTGGCACCTGGGTCTGTTCCAAGACCTCCGGTCAGCGAGCCTTCGACACTTCACGTGGCTTCAAAGTGCACCTGGCCTGGCACAGGCGCCGTGGTGACGTCACCGTCACTTATTGGCGAATGGTGACGGTCGATAACGCAGCGGTGGTTGTGAGCAATGCCATTTGGTGGGGGGGGGGCGCCAACCCTGACCAGCTGTGAACCTCACGTCGCCTCGCAGCCACCACAGTGGCCACAGGGAGTTCTGGATGGGTGCGAGGGGCTGGTAAACCCCCTCCACCTTCAACTACATCACCACACATTCACATGCAAGCCCTTGGGTCTGTCGATGGATCTCTGTGGTGAGTCTATGGGTCTCTGTGTGGTGAGTTTGTGTCTCTGTTTTGTGAGTCTTTCGGGCTCTATGCTAGTCTGTTTGAGTCGGTGGTTCTCTGTGTGATGAGTCTATGCGTTTTGTATGACTCTATTGGTCCCTGTGTGAAGCATCTATGGGTCTCTGTGTGATGAGTCTATAGGTCTCTGTGTGGTGAGTCTGTGGTTATCTGCGTGGAGAGTCTCTGCGTCTCTGTTTGGAGAGTCTACAGGGCTCTGTGTGAGTATGTGGGTCTGTTTGAGTCTGTGATTCTCTGTCTGATGAGTCTATGGGTCTCTGTGGTGAGTCTATGGTTATCTGTGCAAGTCTGAGGGTCTGTGCGTGGTGAGTGTATAGGTCTATGTGTGATGACTCTATGAGTCTCTATGTGATGGATATCTGTGGTGCACATATTCTGGCACAAGCGCCGTGGTGTCGTCGCCACCACTTAGTGGAGAATGCTCCTCCCCCTGCTCCTGCTTGTTGTTGTGCTCGGGAAGGAGAGAGAAAACTCGACTAAAGTCTCAACGATTTTCATTTCACCAGGTAAGGTCCACTGAGCTAAACATCTCTTTTTCAGAAGCGACTTGGCACCAATGTCAGTTCAACGAAGTGGCTCATCATCACGTGTAAATTATAGCAGCCAAATACTTTCAACGAATATTCATATTCTTGGTTCTTTCGGTAAAGTTACGTATATAGAAAAAGAAAAAAGATTTTCAATTTACTATTTTCAATTTATCTTTTTTGAACCAAGAATATGGATTCCTGCAGTCAAGTCAAAACTTTAAACGAATGTTTCTAAATGTGGAGAGAAAAACCGGAGGACCCGGAGAAAAATCCACGCGACCACGGGGAGAGACAGAGACAGGCAAACTCCAAATATACAGCAGCAGGCATCAGGGTCGGAATCGAACCCACAATCTCTGTATACCAGGCGAGGTAGTTATGGGGGAAAGCAGAGACAGCGAGAAGGAGAGGGGGGGGAGAATTAGTCAAACTCGCACTTAGTATTGCTCACTAACCATGATACACTCACCATCACACTCACCACCACACTCACTACCACACTCACCATCACACTCACCACCACACTCACCACCACACTCACCACCACACTCACCATCATACTCACCACCACACTCACCACCACACTCACCATCATACTCACCACCACACTCACCACCACACTCACCATCATACTCACCACCACACTCACCACCACACTCACCACCACACTCACCACTACACTCACCATCATACTCACCACCACACTTACCATCATACTCACCATCACACTCACCACCACACTCACACACAAGCCCACACACATCAACATTCGCCATTCACCACATCGTGGCGGTGACGTCGCCACAATAACTCAGTTGCCATGGTTTGACGGCTGTCTGTGGATCTCTGTGTGGTGGTGAGTCTGTGGGTCTCTGTGTGGTGGTGAGTCTGTGGGTCTCTGTGTGGTGAGTCTGTGGGTCTCTGTGTGGTGAGTCTGTGGGTCTTTGTGTGGTGAGTCTGTGGGTTTCCGTATGAGCTGAGTCTGTGGGTATCTGTGTGGTGGTGAGTCTGCGGGTCTCTGTGTGAGCTGAGTCTGTGGGTCTCTGTGTGAGATGAGTTTGTGGGTCTCTGTGTGGTGGTGAGTTTGTGGGTCTCTGTGTGGTGAGTCTGTGGGTCTCTCTGTGTGGTGAATCTGTGGGTCTCTCTGTGTGGTGAGTTTGTAGGTCTGTGTGTGGTGAGTCTGTGGGTATCTGTGTGGTGAGTCTGTGGGTCTCTGTCTGATGAGTTTGTGGGTCTCTGTGTGGTGGTGAGTCTGTGGGTCTCTGTGTGGTGAGTCTGTGGGTCTCTGTGTGGTGAATCTGAGTCTCTGTGGGTGTCTGGACATTTCCACAAGATGATGATGATGTTATCAGCCACTTGGTTGATATTCTATGTGTCCCTGTCGGTCTCTATGTATCTCTATCAGTCTCTATGTATCTATATCGGTCTCTATGTATCTCTGTGGTTCTCTATGTATCACTCTGGGTCTCTATGTATCTCTATCAGTCTCTATCTATATCGGTCTCTATGTATCTCTGTGGGTCTCTATGTATCACTCTGGGTCTCTATGTATCTCTCTCGGTCTCTATGTATCTATATCGGTCTCTTTGTATCTCTGTGGGTCTCTATGTATCACTATGGGTCACTATGTATCGCTGTGTATCTCTGGATCTCTGTGTGTCTCTATGTATATCTTTGGGTTTCTATGTATGACTATGGGTTCCTGTATGTCTCTATGGGTCTCTGTGTGTCTCTTAGGGTATCTATGTATCTCTATAGGTCTATATGTATCTCTATGGGTCTATATGTATCACTATGGGTCTCATTGTATCACTATGGGTCTCTGTATGTCTCTATGGATAAGCGTGGTTTCTTAAGCGAACTGGGGAATGTGGAGGGATGGGAGTGGCCGACCGGTGTGATTGTAATGCGTAGTGCGGATAAGCGTGGTTTCTTCAGCGAACTGGGGAATGTGGGGATGGGTAACGTCGGAGACTAAGGTAGAAGCCGGTGAAGGTGATTGCAATTTGTAGTGTGGATAAGTAAGCTGTTTATGTGATGTAGGAAATGTGGCAGAAGGGTTGACGTAAATCCTAAATAAGCCTATGGGAGTAGCCGGTGAAGGTGATTGCAATTTGTAGTGCGGATAAGTTAGGTAAGCTCTGTCCATGACGGCCCGTGCAGAACTCATTACTGTAATTGTTACTCAGACACGTGCCCCACCCCACTTGTGACGTCACCACGGCACTTATGCCAGGCTAGGTGCATGCACTCTGAGGCCACGTTAAGTGTCGAAGGGTCGCTGCTGGCAGGAGGTCACGGGACAGACCCAGCAGGTGCTATGGGTTGACTGCTGTGCCAGGCTAGGTGCAGGAGGAGGAAGTCACGGGACACACCCAGCAGGTGCCATGGGTTGACTACTGTACCAGGCTAGGTGTATGAGGCCACGGGACAGACCCAGCAGGTGCCATGGGTTGACTGCTGTGCCAGGCTAGGTGCAGGAGGAGGTCACGGGACAGACCCAGCAGGTGCCACGGGTTGACTGCTGTGCCAGGCTAGGTACAGGAAGAGGTTACGGGACACACCCAGCAGGTGCCATGGGTTGACTGCTGGGTCAGGCTAGGTGCAGGAGGAGGCCCTGGCACAGACCCTGCAGTTGCCATGGGTTGACTTCTGTGCCAGGCTAGGTACAGGAGGAGGTCACAGGACAGATCCAGCAGGTGCTATGGGTTGACTGCTGTGCCAGGCTAGGTGCAAGAGGAGGAAGTCACGGGACAGACCCAGCAGGTGCCATGGGTTGACTGCTGTGCCAGGCCAGGTGCAGGAGGAGGCCACGGGACAGACCCAGCAGGTGCCATGGGTTGACTGCTGTACCAGGCTAGGTGCAGGAGGAGGTCACGGAACAGACCCAGCAGGTGCCATGGGTTGACTGCTGTGGTGAGTCTGTGGGTCTGTATGTGAATCTATGGGTCTCTGTGTGGTGAGTCTATGGGTCTCTGTGTGAGACTATGGGTTTGCATGTGAGTCTGTGGAGCTCTGTGTGATGAATCTATGTATTTGTGTGGTGAGTCTATGGGTCTCTGTGTGGTGAGTCTATGGGCCTCTGCATCAGTACCATCACCACATCACACACATCTCCATCAGTGCCATCACCACATCACCACGCACGTATCTCAATCAGCGCTATCACATACATCACACCACCACGTGGAGGCTGAGGACAGGCTGCTGATAATAACCTTTAATAGAACGGGTTCCAGGTGGCAGGTAACGGCGATTCCGCTACGCACACAGGAGGTACAGCTCTGGACGATCCCTGCATCTGCCCGTCTGTACGTCCGCACGTCTCTATGCTGGCCTCGGTGTCTGTCTGGTCCGTCTGTCTGTCTGGTCCATCTATCTGTCTGGTCCACCTGTCTGTCTGCTTGCACGCGCCCATGTGTCTATTCTGTCTCTCTTGTCTGCGGTGTGACAGGGGAGTGAGTGCCACTGGTGCTGCGCTACGAACCCTGGCTACCCGAGTTCGATTCCCGCTCATGGCCATTGATACCCGCGGTGGTTATCTGAACCCCGCTAACTGGGCCTCCCTTCTAGTTTGACTCAAATGAGTACCTGGAGCAATGGGTGTAAACATCGCCACTGGGGTGGCAAAGGGGGCCGGGCGTGGTGTTTCATGTGCCGGTGCTCGCTAACAGCACTTGCCCCAACGGTATGTTAAGGCTACACGGGGGACCTTTATCTGTTGGCCTCTGTCAGTATGTCCACGTCGCTACTTTTCTATCTTGCTGTGTCTGTCCGTCTGTCTGCTTTGTCTGTCTGCCTTGTCTGTGCCTTGTCTGTCTGCCTTGTCTGTGCCTTGTCTGTCTGTCTGCCTTGTCTGTCTGTCTGCCTGTCCGTCCAGCAGTCGGTCGGTTGGTGGGACGGTGGGCTCGCGCTCAGATGGCAGGGTATAGGCTCAGGCCGGTTACGCAACGCATGCACAGCGAGTGCCCGCCGCTCGTGCTGCTGTTTCTGCCGGTGCTGCTAGTGCCGATGCACTGCTGACGCTGCTCGTTCTATCCGTTCTTCCGGTGATCTTCCAGTACCGCTGGTGCCCACGACTGCTGGATGCTGCGAGTGATCCTGCCGTCTGTGCTTCGGCTGCTCGTGCTTCCGGTGTCATTGGCTGCTTGCTAGCTCACCAGCTAGTGCTGGTGATGGTAAGGGTGTTAATGTTACTGCTGGTGCTATACCTGTTGGTGCTACAGCTGTTAGTACTCCTGGTGCTAATGCTGATGGTGATACTGATTTTAGTGTTGCTGGTGCTACTGCTGCTACTGCTGGTGTTACTGCTGGTGCTACTGCTGGTGCTACTGCTGCTACTGCTGCTGGTGCTACTGCTGGTGCTGGTGCTACTGCTGCTACTGCTGCTACTACTGCTGGTGTTGTTGCTGCGCTAGCACAAGCGCCGCGCTGGCGCTGTCGTGGTCGATCACTTGCGGTAGTTGCCCAGGTGCAGGGCGGCGCGTCCGCTAACGCAGCTAAAGGCAGTGGCCGGCACCTCCCAGGGGCGCAGCGCATTGCCAAAGAGGCTGATGGAGGTGTAAAGCGCCTTCTTGGGGTTGAACACTGGCGGGCAGAACGAGTCGTTGAAGACGGACGCGATCTTGTTGTCGTGCAGGAAGATCACCTGGGGGTGCGAGGTGGGGGGTGGTGGGGTTGGGGAGTGAGAGAGGAGGAGGTGAAGCCAGTGGCCCGGGCCGGATGACTTCGTGGGCGCTGGCAAACAATATGGTGCCGCCACCACCACCTTCGCTGTGTCGGTGGTGGTGCTGGTCGTGTAGCGGTTAACGCACCACGCTATAATCCCGGCGACCCAGGTTCAAATCCCGCTCACGGCCAACACCAGTTACGACTGTCTGAACCGTTTCGGGTCCTCTCCTAGGTCGACTCCACCTCAAATGAGTACCTGGTGCAGTGTGTAAACATCGCGACTAGGTAGACGTAGTGTTGGCCACCCACCCCCTCGTGTGCCGTGCCGGCCTTCATAAGTGCTCGCTAACTGCACTTGCCCCAACAGTCTGTTAAGGCTAAAGAGGGGTTATTTTTCTTTAATAGTGCCGGTGGTGGTGCTGTTGATGCTGGTGGTGATGGTGGTCACCTGCAGGCGCTTGAGTGCGGGGAAGCCCGGTGGCACGCTTCTGAGCTCGTTGTGGTCGAGGTGGAGCTCCCGCAGTGAGGAGAGATCCAGAGCCCCGGCCTCCACCGACTTTACCGCATTGTCACTCAGGCCCAACCTGGGGAACACCGCCACCATCACCGTCACAGCACCGTCACACCATCGTTACACCACCGTCACACTACTATCACAGCACCGCCACACCACAATCACAGCACCGTCACAGCACCGTCACAGCACCGTCACACTACAATCACAGTACCGTCACACTACTATCACAGCACCGTCACACCACCGTCACACCACCATCAGGGTCATTCACCTGGTGAGTTTGGTCAGGCCCTTGAGGTCGTCCTTCCTCACTGTATTGATGGCGTTGGAGTCCAGGTAGAGCTCCTGCAGCTGCGGTGGAAGTCCTAGACATGGTGACATGGTGAAACACAGTGAGACACGGGGACACGGTGAGACATGGGGATATGGTGAGACACAGTGAAACAATAAGACACGGACACGGCGAGGCACGGGGACACGGTAAGATATGGTGAGACACGGTGACACGGTCAGATACGGAGACAGGGTGAGACACGGGGACATGGTGAGACATGGTGAGACACGGGGACACGGTGAGACACGGTGAGACACGGGGACACGGTGAGACACGGTGAGACACGGGGACACGGTGAGACACGGTGAGACACGGGGACACGGTCAGATACGGGGACAGGGTGAGACATGGTGAGACACGGGGACATGGTGAGACATGGTGAGACACGGGGACACAGTCAGATACGGGGACAGGGTGAGACACGGAGACAGGGTGAGACACGGTGCGACACGGGGACATGGTGCGACACGGTGACATGGTGCGACACGGTGTCATGGTGAGACACGGTGAGACACAGGGACACGGTGAAACACAGTAGTTGGCATGGTTGTGGTGGTAATGGTTGTGGTGGTAATGGTTGTGATGGTGATTCTGGTGGAGGTGGTAATGGTTATTGTGCTGGTGGCGGAAATGGTTGTTGTGGTGGTTATTGTTGTGTTTGTTGTGGTGTTTATGGTTGTGATAGTTGTGGTTGTTGTTATTGTGGTGGCGGGGCACTATACCCTGTGGCACGGCCGTGAGATTGCACTCGCTGGCCCGCAGATAAGCCAGGCTGCGCAGGCCCGAAAGGCTCCCACTCGCCATGCCCGAGTTGCCCAGAGGGTTCCCGCTCACGACTACACAACACGCACACACAAAACACACACAATGTACACAGTATACAATATCGTGACTGCAAGGATTCATATTCTTAGGTTTTTTCGGTAAAGTCACGTATGTGACTTTACCGTATTCTTAGGTTTTTTCGGTAAAGTCACGTATGTGACTTTACCGAAAAAACCCAAGAATATCAATACACACAATATACGTACACTACATATTAACAATATACACACTCACGATTATGCAACATGCACACAATATGCACACAACGCATACAAAATATACACGGCACGAATGCACAATACACAATATATACACAATATACACATAAACAATACACACACTACATACACACAAATACATAACAACAAAAACAACCCCAATTTGCCACTAAATGGCAGTGATGTCACTACGGCGCCTGTGCCAGGCCATTTGCACTTTAAGGCCATGTGAAGTGTCGAACGCTAGCTGGCAGACGGTCACGGCACTGATCCAGGAGCCATGGGTTGACTGACTGAGTTGACTGGCAGATGGATCACCTATGCTCCCCACTATGCCAACTGCGTTTTAGTCACCTAGCGCTCCGCTTGTTGTTGTGAGCGACTGCAGGGCGACGGCCTCCAACCGTCCAGCAGCATCCTTCACGAGCCTTCTCCACAGAAGCCAATCTTGACACCACTAGTACCTCATTGGCAAGTTTACTGAGCTCCATATTCTCTCGTACCACATCATTCCATATCTTCTCCAGCCCGTACCGCGCTCATTTAGCCCCCTCTATCCAGCCAAACAAAATCTGTTTTGGCATGAGGTGGCTGGGTACACGGGCTACATGACCCAGACAATGCAGCCTTGCCTGCCGGAGGAGCTCACTGATGGGACCGTGTCCAGATCTTTCAAGGATTTGTGAGCTTCTCATAAAACCCAAACTGGTTAACCTGAATATTTTAAACAAGCGCAGATGTTCCATTAGGGAGGTCCACCTTTCACAAGCAAAGAGAAGGAGGGCATGACTGTGGCCGAGAAGACGCACAACTTTTCGCGTGGAGTCACATACCAGGTAGCTTCCACACAGCGTTGTTGAATATATGCCTTTTCCAAAAAATTATATTAAGTGATTCTGCATATATTTTTTATCAGGATGTAGCTGCCTCTTGGCTCGCCACACGGGCCTGCTTGGGAGGTTATTAAAAATATAAACCCGGTGCAAAGGGGGCTAATGACTTCAAGAGAAAAATGCCATAAAACAATAGCCAGAAGGGGTGGTTGGGCATTGCGAACTGGATGGGTTTTAAAATACAATAGTAAGTTTGAAGCTTAGCTATATTTCAACCTCAGGATATCAAAATATAACTTGAGAATAAGAAGCACGGATCCCTGGTGATACAGACGGGGAACAAAGATCAATAACACCCTCAGGATACCTTTGGTAACAACTATGGTATACCACAAATCTTGGTTAAGCATAAACCAAATAATAATTATGAAAGTATTAGACCTAGGGTCATTCAGAAGACATACAATTCGAAATTGTTTAAATCACACACTACCAATATAATATGTATTCCATCGGATCAGAGCCCACTGGGACAGTCATGGGTCCCATTTCTGTAGTTTCCCATGCTTCACAGTATGTTGGAAACACCCGCTTTAGCTACAGAAAGTCAACATACGAGAATACCCCTAGAGTCTGCGAGAGCGAGGGCGGAAGATGACTCATCGGCTGACAACATGGTAACGACTGGACCGGAAACGACTACGAGTAATGAGAGCACATCACAAGAGAACACCACAGCAACTGTCACAAGTTCCGCTGCAACAGCGGGCCACAAACAGATGCAGGTATGTGTCTGTGGTTGGAGGAAAGTAACATCACACCATGGGTTGAGGATCCACCAGGGGAAGAAGGGGTGTTTGGGTAAAGAGAGACAGAGGCCTCGCATTGATTACTTTCTGCGAAAGCGATCAAATCAGTCGAATGAAGCACAGCAACTGGACGCAAACCATAGTTTTCAGTGCATCAGTACCACTGTCATGGAGGACGTAAACTCAAGCACCGAAGTAACAACTGAGGTGGAACCAACAACAGGAGTGGAACTCACCCAGCCTCCCAGACCTGCAGTCGAGAGGAGACTACCAGGGCACAGACCGTATGTGAAGTGGCCTGGCGCCATTGACAAGAAGTTGTGGGAAACAGTGAATACTGACCTTACCTTGACCCTCGAGAAACTTCGAGGCACAGCGGAGAAGAAGTTGGAGAGGATGGGGGACATCATCTATGAGTACGGGTAGAAAGCTTTGGAGTGCAAGAAGCAAAAGGCGGGAGAAAGGTTCCAACCCCACCAGTTTCCAGGAGGCAACAAGAAATCAAGCGCCTCGTTCAAGAAAGGAGACAGCTTAAGAAACAGTGGAAGAAGGCTTCGGAAGTGGAAAAAGAGGGCATAGAGGCACTTCAGGCTGACATCAAAACCCGGTTGGCATCCCTCCGTAGAGCAGAGAACCTACGGAAACGCAGAAGGAAGAAAGAACAAACTAGAACTAGATTCTATAAAGATCCCTTCAAGTTCCTTAAAAGTCTCTTCACGAAGGAAAAAAGTGGAGTTCTAAAAACAACAAAGAAAGACCTAGAGGAGCACCTGAGAACAACAAACTTTGACTCAAAGCGACATGAACATTGGGCCATCCCATCAGATATCCCACCCATGGAACCCCCGGAACATCATATTGAGACCAGCCCTCCGACATGGAAAGAGGTGGAAAACACAGTTCGACGGGCAAGAACAGCATCAGCCCCGGGGCCAAATGGAGTCCCGTACAAAGTGTATAAGAACGCACCAGACGTCCTGAGGTTCCTCTGGAGGCTTATGAGAACAGCTTGGCAAAAGAAGATAATACACAAAGTGTGGCGTAGGGCAGGCGGGGTCCTGATCCCTAAGGAGAAGGATGCAGTGAACATCGGCCAATTCCGCCCAATCTCCTTACTGAATGTCGAGGGTAAAATCTTCTTTAGGGTCATTGCCCAGAGGATGGCCGAGTACCTGCAAAGGAATGCGTACGTCGATACATCTGTACAGAAGGCAGGAATATCAGGGTTCTCTGGCTGCTTGGAACATTCCAGCATGATCTGGCACCAGATCAAAATGGCCAAGGTGGAGAAAAGGGACCTCCATGTAGTCTTCCTCGACCTCGCCAATGCATTTGGCTCTGTGCCCCATGAACTTCTGTGGTCTGCCTTCAGATTTTTCCACATACCGGACACCATCACAACCCTAGTGAAGTCGTACTTCCAGGATCTGCAGTTCTGCTTCACCACCTCAGAGTTCACCACCTCATGGCAGTGCCTGAATGTAGGTATAATGGCGGGATGTACCATTTCTCCGTTGGCATTCATAATGGAAATGGAGGTTATCATCAGATCCTCAAAATGGGTTGCTGGTGGACAACGAGTCGACTCTGGTTTCCGCCTCCCTCCACTCAGAGCCTACATGGACGACATTACAACATTGACCACCACTGTCCCATGCACCAGGAGACTGCTCAGAAAACTCGAGGAGAACATAAGCTGGGCCCGTATGAAGATTAAACCATCTAAGTCACGCAGCATCTCGATTGTGAAGGGAGTACTCTCTGACCTGAAATTCTTCATCGGAGATGACCAAATCCCAACTGTGTCTGAGCAGCCGGTAAAACGCCTTGGAAGGTGGTATGATGCAAGCCTGAAGGACAAAGACCAGGTGCAACAGCTGCGCAAAGACATCAGTAGTAGCCTACAGTTCATCGACAACACCCAGCTACCTGGAAAGTTAAAGGCCTGGTGTCTGCAGTTTGGTCTCCTACCCCGGGTGTTGTGGCCCCTAGCAGTGTATGAGGTTCCAATCTCAATAGTGGAGAAGATGGAAAGAGGAGTCACAGGCTACTTAAAGAAGTGGCTCGGAGTTCCACGATGCCTTACCACCATAGGCCTCTATGGAGATGGTGTCCTCAAGCTGCCCCTCACCAGTCTAACAGAGGAATTCAAGTGTGCAAAAACCAGTTTAACACGTAGGCTTTCGCGACCAATATTATTTATAATCAATGTTTTTGGGTTTAGATCGCGTTATTTATAAATGTGTCGTAAGCCCCCACCACCCGACACGGCAAATCAGTAAAAAAGTGTCACGTTGACAAAAGACAACTTAGTTCACTGCTTTAGCCCACCGATGTGTTGAAGCGCGAAACCACAACATTTACAATTTGAGTACGACGTTTCGCTGGTAATTGCATCCAGCATCATCGGGCAATTCGCCAGAATGGTGAGGCTCTGCTGTGTCTCCCGTTCTTATATAGAGCAGCAGCAGGGTGACGTCATCATTAACTCATTAACTCATCAGGCGCAAAGATTTGAGGGGGGAGTTATTGTAATTATATACCAGATTAGTAATCAGGCTATTGTTACGATGCGAGTTGTAGATTAGTAATCATTTGGAATGTGTTTTATTGTGATTATGCTACATTAGTAATCAGTTAGTGTTTGTTTCTCTTATAAGGAATTGTAATGTATCTTATTTAATAATACGCTTCCAGGCCGCACTAAGCCTGTAGCTGTCTGAGCGATTAAAGTTATTTCTGTTTCTCTCAATTTCAATCGATTCTCTAATTAGTCTTTGCCAGTAGTAACTAGTTTTACACAGAACTTCAACGTTGTCAAAATCAATTGAGTGTCCCTGTTGGCATGCATGTTCTGCCACTGCCGACAGTTGTGTTTGTGATAATTTAATATTTTTCTGGTGTTCTTTTAGTCTTACACTAACCAGGCTCCAGATGACACTGAATGAATCTCGAGACCCAGTGGTGAGCAACAACGCGCCGACCTTGGCAACTGGGCGCAAATGGAGGCCAGGAAAAGCAGTCCAGGAGGCAACAGCAGCCCTCAGACATGCTGACATTGTGGGTCATGTTCAGTAAGGGAGAGGAGGCCTTGGGCTAACTAGCCGTGCTGCTTGGAGTAAGGCCACTGCACCAGAGCGGCGGAAGATGG